ATGCTGTTATTCAAAAACACCTACAAATGTTTGACACTAACACCGCCAGGGATCTACGCGACAATATATATGTCGACAACGTTCTAAGTGGTGCAAAGAATGACGACGATGACGTCGGAGTTTTACTTGATGACAATAACCCATCATTACTTGGTATGAAGTGGAATACAAATACAGATACTATCGGCTACAAATCGTACGAACACCAACCTACCGAGAAGATAACTAAACAAGAAATTGTTAGACGTACGAATGGTTTGTTTGATCCACTCGGACTATTAAATCCGGTTCACGTAAAAGCAAAAATATTTATACAGGCATTATGGAATGAGAATCTTGAATGGGATAAAGAACTGCCGACACAATTAACGAACACTTGGTCGAAAATTGAAACAGACTTACGAAATGCATCTAATATCACCGTTCCACGCCTGTACACTAACGCCAAGGAAACGAACTCTTATAAACTCGTATGCTTTGTGGACAGCAGCACTAAAGCGTATGGTGCATCTGTCTATCTTGCATCAAACAAATCGGCAAATCTAGTCATGGCTAAATCCCGAGTTGCACCAGTGAAAGACAACACCCTACCACGACTGGAACTTATGGCAGCTGTGTTAGGACTTACAAAATTTGTTGAAAATCAACTATCTGCACGCCTTCATATTGAGGAGAAAATTCTCTTCTCGGACAGTCAAATTGTATTAAGCTGGATTAACAGCAAAGCTAAATTACCGGCATTCGTCACACATCGCATTGAGGAAATTAAATTGTTTTCATTCAGGGACTATCGATACATTCCAACAACTCAAAACCCCGCCGATCTCTTGACAAGAGACACTTAACTACAGAGCAGCTCAACAATTCTAAACTTTGGTGGCATGGCCCGAAATGCGTACATAACAACGTTCTGACTAAGGAAACCCCGACATGTACCACTGATGAACAGATCGAGCTTCACGATTCTACTGAAAACGCTGACAAAATCAACACTGACATCGTCGTCGGTCAAACCAATGCTGGTTTGGACACTGTCAGTACTACCGGCATTGGTCAAATTGTTGATATAAATCGATACAAGTCTTTACAAAAATTAAATCGTATTACCGCGCTTGTTTTAAGGTTCGTCGATAACATCAAAAAACCTGCACAATCTCGAAATCTGAATGAGTTAGCAGTGAACGAAATCTCGCAGGCACAATCAACATGGATAGTATACGTACAGAAGACGCGTTATCAAAAAGAATGTGAATCCCTACAAGTTGAAAATAACAAAGCCTCGCCTTTAATTCGACAACTTTGTTTATTTATTGATAAACAACACGTCATCCGCTGTAGTGGTCGTCTACACAATGCGCCCATTGGAGAATTTACTAGTTCGTGATGCCATGAAAGATCATTACATTCCGGACTACAAAGTACTGTCACGTTATTACGTCAAACATACTGGATTACAAGGATTAGAGCTACCGTCAAGGCGTTACTATGGAAATGTGTAATATGCAAACGTGTTACCGGACGTCCTTACATGAAACCAATCACCGCCCCTCTGCCTAACTATCACACCCAGAAATCTGACCCCTTTCAGATTTGTGGCATTGATTTCACTGGTGAACTATACGTTAAACGGGAAAATGGTGGCGAGAGAAAATGTTACATATGTCTCTTCATGTGTGCTAATACCAGAGCAATACACTTGGAATTGGTTCAAGACTTATCAACCGATAGTTTTCTCCGCGATTTTCGATGTTTTGCGGCTCGCAGATCTCTGCCTACATGAATCGTTTCTGACAACGCCACGACCTACTTATCCGCCGCTAAGGAAATCAACGATCTGTTCAACGACCCGCAAGTAAAAGCCTTCCTTGCAAACCATCACATTCAGTGGACATTCATTCCAAAACGCGCTCCTTGGTGAGGAGGTTTCTATGAACGCATGATTGGTATGACAAAGAACACGTTAAAGAAAGTACTTCGTCGCGCATTCGTCACATTGGATGAAATGAATACTATATTGTGCGAAATAGAAACAACAATAAACAACCGTCCGATAACTTATGTTTATGGTGACGACGCAAAGGCGACTCCCCTCACCCCAGCTCACTTACTCCATGGCCGTACATTGAACACATTACCACATGTAACTATCGACATGGAGGAACTCATCGATCCGACATACGAAACAAAGGAAACTCTCCATAAACGTGCCACGAAAGCTCAGTGAAACTATGGATCGACTTTGGAAAAAATGGGAGTTAGAATATTTATCAGCACTCCGAGAACCACATGAATGACAAAAAACCGGGAAATTAACTAACACGATCAAGTCTGGAGACGTTGTACTTGTACATTCAGACAACAAGAAACGTACGTTATGGGATTTAGCCGTGGTCGAGTCTGTTATAACAGGAAACGACGGTATAACTCGCGCTGCAAATATCAGAACGCGTAATGGTAAAACAAATCGTCCTATTGTGAAACTATATCCTATTGAAGTCTCTACGGATAATATGCAATGCTTGGACCATGGAAACTATATGCTTGGACACTGATAATATACAAATCTTGGACACTGATAACAATAGACATATTAACGATTCTAATGACACACTGACAGGGTTCTCCCCAGGGCTTTTTAGCGCCGAGGTCCGCGGCGCTATACCTGTGAATCTCGGCGCTTCACTTGGGACCTCGGCGCTATGTGTTCCCACCTCGGCGCTTGATTTCATATTTGCCATGCCAATATCAGATGTGAAAAAGCTTTGTTCGCCACGCCGGTCGGCCCCGACCGTCACTCAAAATTGGTGACCACCACAGAAATGCTTCCGACGAGGACTATTGTCTGATTGTTGGTATAATTACGTACCGACCGACACGCATCCTGCCAGTCGTGGATTATAATTTATAAACAATAGACCTAGTCGCACGATACGTAGCGGCTAGTCAAATTTGTGGAATTAGCACCTCTCTGTTTGTAAGTAAATACTTTCTGCGATAGACAGTCTTTAGATTGAAAGCTAAAATTATTTCAAAATCAATTCCACCTCGATATAACATGGTCAAATCGGAGTTCACGATCAGTTCACGCTACTCAAGAAAAAAACAACGTGTTTATT